CCTGAAAATGCAAGAAACAAGAATCTGTCTCTAAATCCTCCACTGAAGCAGAATATCGGTCCATGTCTGCAGCATGCTCTGAGATTATTTGGTTACGGGGCCTTCTTTCAGAACTTGGTTATTCACATGCAACACCAACTCCGTTGTATGCTGATAATACAAGTGCCATACAGATTGCAGCAAATCCTGTATACCATGAAAGAACAAAGCACATAGAGGTCAATTGTCATTCAATCAGGGAAGCTTATGAACGTAGAATTATCACTCTACCTCTTGTCTCAACATCTGTTCAACTAGCTGACATCCTCACCAAGTCTTTGACACGTCAACGACATAATTTCCTCGTCAGCAAATTGATGCTTGTAGATTCACCAGCATCAATTTGAGGGGGGATGTCAATAGAATTGATGAGCAGAATATTTGGCATTATTTGTGCAGATTTGTAATTATATCCTTAATTAATTAGCCAGCTGTAGGTTATGATTTGTAATTATATCCTTAATTAATTAGCCAGCTGTAGGTTAAGATTGTGTAATTATATCCTTAATTAATTAGCTAGTTGTAGGTTATGATTGTATAGTTATGATTGTGTAATTATATCATACTATTTAAATGAGAATTCTCCAAAGGAGATCATAAAGTTTTATCCCAATTTCTCTAAGTTTAACACTTAACTCCATAAAGAGAATTTCACATTCTCACATCCCTGACTAGAGAGTGTTCCTCACTCACCAGCAATATGATATCTTCTCTTACACCTTTAAAATAAAGCACTATCACAACAAGTAATGGCATAAGGCATCTTACCTTTCATGCCAAACTTGGCATAACACTCTCCTCGTATATTTTACTCATCCCACCACTTGGTGGTAGCAGAGTTTAAACTCATATTCCAAGTCTCTTAACGCATTATTATACCATGAGGCAAACTAAAATTGATTGATCTGTGCACCTCGTGCACCCGGACCACCCGATGAGTCAAAATCAAATCGGTGCCCTCACAGGACTTCCAAGAGTCAACACCCTTAGCATCCAATCCCCAAAGGGAAACTGATATGCCTCTGGCAGATGTAGTTTTCTAAGCTGAAATTGATAAGAATTGAGTCATAAAAGAGCAATTTATATACATATTTGCTTACTATATTGATTCTTTCCATGTCAATGATATTTCTCACCTATTGGTTGTGTTTATATAGGTTGAAGAAGTGAAAACTACAAAATTGTAAAAAGCTTGTTGACGTGACTCCACACGGGTGAACCTTGGGCCAATTTCCAGAGAGTTGTGCAAGTTGGCGCCACACTGGCGCCAACACACGCAGGTTTGCGAGTTCAACGGACCGCGTTGGTATAAATTCCAGAAAGTTGGCGCAAGTTGGCCCCACACTGGCGCCAACCCGCGCCAGTTTGCGAGAAAAGAAAAGACTGTGTGTCTGAAAGGTAATTTTGGAAGAATGAAAAGAGGCGTATAAATAGGATTCTTTACACAAAATTAGGGATCCTAATTTCAAGAGACGGCGGTCGTGCTCAGAAATAAAGTCTTGCGAAGATCTTGTTCATCTTTTTCTCCTCTTTTCCAATTTTCAGTTCATGTTGAATATTGATAGGTCAGTCATGATAATGGTTGGCTAGTTTCTTTTTATTGTAGTTAGGGTCACGAAACCTATGTGAACCCTTGTTACAACGGATTGGTTTATAATTATTCGTTTATATAATTATCTTTATATCTACCTTGTGGGTAATTTCTGTCTTCGTTGTTAGAACTAATCAATCTAATAGTTGATGATAGTTTGAGGGTTAGAACCCTAGATAGGAATATTGGGGTTTTGATCTTGAAAGTGGGTAGGATAACATTTATATGCATGCTAGGAATAAATGTATATTTAATTGCAGATGCTTAAATTATTGGGTTCATTGCTTAATGCCATGAGGAATATTGCAAAGAATTGGGGTTTCAATTGGGGTTAAAGGGTTAATCTTGCAAGGAATTTAGGGTTAACTACTGAATATTTTTAGATAATAATTTATCTGAGTAATTATATAAATGAGTATTGTAAATCAATCCAAAATAAGAAGCAGAAATCATTTGGTGAGTGCACTCTAGCTACAATGCATTCTCATACTTTTACAAATCAATCCTTATTTTATTTTTATTATTCATCACAAAAATTCCAAAAATACGTTCTTGCTTTTATTTCTTATTTTTAATCAAATCAACAATATTTGTCACACTTATTTGAACTTTTCCCATCTTAAAAGGAACAATTATTTGATATTCGAAACCCAATCCCTGTGGAGACGATACTTTTCTTATCATTGTATTACTTGTGCGATCGGTACACTTGTCGGTGAGCATCAGAAACCCATGACATAGGTTATCGGCCAAAGAACTAGTAGGCATACCAGTCTCCAGTGTACCTTGTACACAAGGACCACTCAATGAATCACACATCAACAGAGCGTCCAATCAAACTCCTCAGAGGCACCCTCTTCGGATACATCCCCTCCAGGGATAGTCCACAATACGCTGATGGCCAATAACCCACTCAACCAACCTAGTTCCTCAGGTCATATTATCAAACACTTCAATACAACATTCAATGTATAAACATAATTCATACATCAAGCTTGTGCAATCACTGATAAACCTTTGGTTTACCATGTTTTTAGGCTAAATTATATGAGAAATACTTCATAGATTGCATGGAATTCAAGGTTTATAGGCATTTAAGTCATAAGATAGGAAATTGAGCTGACGTCTTGATAATATTTGCATTTTGAAGGAAAAACCACAAGAATTGGTGCTAAAAGTGCTAAAGAAATCATGACGAAGAAGTAACGGCTCAATATGGATCAAAGGAAACCAACATATTATAATTCAAGATCCAAAATATCACGCTCAAGCGGACAAGAGGACGCTCGAGCGCATCATGGAAGGGAAAACAGCCAAACTAGGCAAATCAGGGCGCTCAAGCGCCCAACAGCACGCTCAAGCGCCCAAGAAGACATAATTTCATCTCGAGGAGCACGCTCGAGCGCCCATTAGCACGCTCCAACGCCCAAATCCTGACAGCAACAACAATTTGAAGCAATTCAGGGCGCTTAAGCGCCCAACAGCACGCTTGAGCGCCCAAGTGCGATTCAGACAGCGAGATTTAACAAAGATTTGCTGAGATTTAATGAAGATTTGTCCAATTATGATATGGAACTAAAACGGAAACAAATCAAGATGATTCCTGAGAAGATTGAAGCAAGATACAACGAAGATTTAAAACTCTAATTCATCAACCAAATCTCCAAGATTTTACATGAAAAAGGAAACAAAGATGAAATCAAATACAAATCTTGTATAGATTCATTGGAAAATTAGATGATGGATTCAACCCCAAAAAGCTATAAATAAAGAGCTTGGGGTCAAGACCAATACACAATCCCAGGGCATTACACTAAGATGGAAGGAGGAATCCTGTTGCGGAGCGCTGGAACACTGAGAAACCAAGTCAACATTACACCAATGGTGGCTTGGAGTTCTCTTTTCTTTATTATTTCTTTTCTTTTCATTATGCTAGAGTAGTATTTTATGTAGTTAAGGGTAGATGGAACCCAATTGAATCTTTATGTTTATGAATTAAATTGTCTCTGAATCCTGTTCTTTTTATAATTGAATAAATTATCTGTTTTTAATGTTTTCTATGAGTTTGTTCTTTATAGAATGATTTTGGGGAATTGTATGACAATAGGAATGTTGGTGCATGAACCTTGACTTGATAATTTATCATAATCCTTGTGATCTAAGAATAGGAATAGAAATAGACATAGGGTAATTATGCAATCTTGTAATTCTTGATCTTAATGCATGTTTTCTTGGGGAATAATCGGGGAACTAGAGTTCTTTCTAGATTACATAAATTTCGGGTAACAAGGAATTGAGCCCTAATTAACTTAGATAGAATTCATTGGCAATATATTAAGATACAGATTCTTGACTGTTTAATTCATAACATATTGAGGATATTGGGGGAAGTCGAAACCTTAACTACGCTTTTTAAATCTTAATCAAACATCATCTCATTCGTTTTTTTTATTTTGAAATTTCATAATTGCATGTTCTTAATTGTTTTTAATTTTAAGTTCTTTGAACAACAATTCTCTACATCTAAATTCACCATTCTCTCAAACCCAACCTTTGATTGTCCAACTAAAATGCAATTAGTGAACTAGTGCTTGAAATTCTGATTCTCGTGGGAACGATCTCGTACTCAGTACACTTTATTACTTTCACGACCGGTGCACTTGCCGTGTCGCTATCAAGTTTTTGGCCCCGTTGCCGGGGATCGAATTCTTCAACATTAGAAGTAACTAATTAAATTTTAGATTGGACTTTTATTTTTCTGCACTTTAGGCATATCATAAAAACATTTTCTGCATCCAAAAATTCTGCATATTTTTCTGCATATTTAATTTTCTGCATTAATTTCTTTAAATTTCTGTTTTGTGTTTCCTATTTTTCTGCACATCTTTTCAATCTTAGTTTATGTGAGGTACTCTTAACCCGCGAACCTTGCAGTTGATCTTGAGATAGAAAAGACAGAAAAGAACCTAAGGAGGAACCAATGGCAGAAAACAATCAAATCGTTTGAAGGACGTTGGGGGATTACATGACCCCAGCTCGAGTTCCATAGCCGGCAAGCATTGTTAGACCTAACATAGAGGCTAACAACTTTGAACTGAAGCCGGCACTGCTGCAACTGATTCAAAAAGAACAATTCACTGGAGGAAGCACAGAGAACCCCTATAGTCATCTCGATAACTTCTTACTTTACTATGATACATTAAAAGTAAATGGAGTTCTTCGTGATGCTATCTTGCTCAGGCTATTTCCATGCTCACTGAAGGATGAAGCAAGAGATTGGCTGCAGTCTCTACCTGAAGGAAGCATAACCAATTGGGATGACTTAGCAAGAAAATTCCTGGCTAGATTTTTCTCAGCTTCAAAGATGGCAAGGCTCAAGGCGGAGAACACAACTTTTGAACAAAAAGACAGCGAATCTTTATACGAGGCTTGGGAACGATTTAAAGGATTACTCAAGAAGTGTCCTCAACATGGAATTGAAGCATGGGAGAAAGCAAGAATCTTTTTCCAAGGGATGACAGCCAACACAAGAACATCTCCATATCTAGCCTTGGATTATGTCCAAAAGATTCTCTCATGATACTAGTGATTTGTTCCAACAAGATCTCATCTTATCCTTTTGTTATGAAACAACCTTTCATAGGCAATTCAAATTCGAATTCAAATATTTGAATTCAAACATTCAAATATTCAAATTCAAATGTTCAAACATTCAAATCCAAAATTCAAATTCAAAGTTCAAATTTCAAAATTCAAAATTCAAATTTAAAAATTCGAATTCAAATTTCAAATTTCAAATTTCAAATTTCAAATTCAAAATTCGAATTTCGAAATTCAAATTCAAAATTCAAAATTTCAAAATTCAAATTTCGAATTCCAAAATTCAAAATTTAAATGTTTGATAATTAATTTAACTAATTAAATTAATTAGTAATGTCTTGGACTATCCAATCCCATTACAGTGATCCATGCGCCCTCCACCCCTTTAGGTGGAGTTCCAAACAACTTCTTGGGCTAATAACTATTATTAGGCCCAATATCTTTAATGCTAGAGCATCTAGACAATTAGGTGTTTGTGTGTGACCCATTAGGTCCAACTTAGCCACTGACATAAATGGGCTTGGGCTAAATAAGTCCACAACCCATCTAATGACAACACAGAGCACTAGCAATGCTTTTGTTGCCCCAGAACTAGTTAGATTAATGATTTGATCATCCTATTAAACATATTTGGTTGCCGTATGTTTGTCCCTTCGTCTCGGTTACCTTCCCATAAAACCTAGGGTAAGGAAACGCATCAACCCTTGCGGTTTAGGGGTTAGCTTTATATGAAATAAGGAGTCTTCAATTTACTGACTCTAAAGGCGGATCATCTTATGATCTCTTTTACTATGCGTAGATTCTCGACTCACTGTAAATGTCATCCTGATTTCTCCGGTTTAAGGATAACCTAATCTCTCACAGAGATTTGACGAATTCCTTCAGCTTATCACCCTAGCCCTGTGCCCTATCAGGACAAGCCCAAGAGCATACCTAGGAGTCTCCATGTTTCAGGCAGACGAGGTATACAGTCAAAGCATACCTTCTAGAACACAGTCTAAGTGATAACTTTTGGTCTAAGGAAAGACATACCCAAATATGAAGTGACTACTCTAATGACACTATCTGTGAGATTTCCTCATAGAGTCTCTTTGTGGGTCCGTTCAGTGCGAGCTATACCCTTATAGGTCCACCCACGACTTTAGCTAAGACATCTCCATATCTGTAGCACATGAGGTCTATACCTTGTATCCATATACAAGTAGATAAGTCGTGCTAGTCTTACCCAAGATTACTGACCCCATTCTTAGTATCTCTAGACTAGGAACATAAAATTAGGAATAAACATCCGATATTCTTGAATCCTCATGATTGTGATCTCATCACAGATACTCAAGAGATACCTATTTTATTCCACGGGGTTTATCAAGTTATTCATAATATATTAACATTAATATCGAGACAGAATTATGAGACAAGATAAAGAGTGCTTTTATTTATTTGCAACAATATTAAAAAGGTCTACATCTCAGTCCTTATTTAATCATAAGATTGTCTCTAGGACACCCAAATACTAACAAGCTCCCACTTGGCCTAGAGCCAATCAGACCTAAGTCGTATACCCAAAGCCTCATAATGACTATCATGTTTTCTCTGAGAAACAGCCTTTGTCAGAGAATCAGCCAGGTTATCATCTGTGGGAACATAATCCATCTTTACATCCATTCTATCAGTGATTTCTCTAATCAGGTGATATCTGCGGAGCACGTGCTTAGATCTTTGATGGGGCCTAGGTTCCTTTGACTGCACAATGGCTCCAGTGTTGTCGCACAGCAACTGTATGGGCTCATCCACGCTTGGAACCACCCTAAGTTCATATATGAACTTCTTGATCCACACGGCCTCCTTAGCGGCTTCTGAAGCAGCTATGTATTCAGCTTCTGTCATTGAATCTGCTGTTCTCTCCTGCTTGGAACTCTTCCAAGATAACGCCCCACCATTTAAGGTGAATGCGAACCCTGACTGTGACTTGCAGTCATCTTTGTCACTCTGAAAGCTGGCATCAGTGAACCCTTTCACTGTAAGCTCATTAACCCCACCATAGACCAAAAACGCATCCTTAGTTCTTCTCAAGTATTTAAGGATGGTCTTGACTGCCGTCCAGTGACCCTCTCCAGGGTCAGACTGGTATCTGCTCGTAATGCTTAAAGCATACATATCATGGCATACATGATGGACCCAATAGCCGAAGCGTATAGAATTCCACTCATGCGATCCTTCTCAGGCTGTGACTTAGGACACATAGCCTTTGAAAGATGTATCCCATGACTGACAGGTAGAAAAACCCTTTTCGACCCTTCCATGCTAAACCTTTTTAGTATCTTGTCAATATACGGGGATTGAGATAAACCCAGCAGCCTGTTTGATCTATCTCTATAGATCTTTATACCAAGTATAAAGGCCGCCTCTCCCAAATCCTTCATGGTGAAGCTTTCTGAAAGCCATTCTTTCGTTGTTTGTAATGTGGGGATGTAATTTCCTATAAGCAATATGTCATCTACATAAAGCACTAGGAAGACAACATTATTCCCACTAACCTTCCTATAAACACAAGGTTCATCCTCGTTCTTGATGAAACCGTTACTCCTGACGACCTCATCAAAATGAATATTCCAACTCCTTGATGCTTGCTTTAGCCCATATATCGACCTTTGAAGTTTGTATACCATATGCTCCTGATCTTTGATTACAAAGCCTTCAGGTTGTGTCATGTACACTTCCTCCTTCAAGAACCCATTCAAGAAGGCGGTCTTGACATCCATTTGCCAAATTTCATAGTCGTGATATGCCGCTATTGCAAGCATGATCCTAATAGATTTGATCATGGCAACAGGTGAGAAAGTCTCATCATAGTCAACTCCTTGTCTTTGACGATACCCTTTCGCAACCAACCTAGCTTTGTAGGTCTGAATGTTGCCATCTGCATCAGTCTTTCTTTTAAAGACCCATTTGTTACCAATAGGAACTATTCCTTGCGGTTTTGGAACCAAGGTCCATACCTTGTTTTGATACATCGAATCCATTTCAGATTCAATGGCTTCAAGCCATCTAGAAGAGTCAACATCCTTGACTACCTCTTCGTAGTTACTTGGTTCATCATCCTCGACGGTTTGCTGATTCTCAATCACAAATCCATATCTCTCAGGTGGATGGATGACCCTCGTAGACCTACGGAGTTGTGTGTTTACTTCTCCATCGGAGAACGTCGCCTGCTGAGCAGACTTGGGTTCCTCAATCTGTTCACGTGGTTCTTGAACTTCTTCAAGATCAATCTTACTCCCACTGGCTCATTGAGAGATCAAATCCTTCTCAAGGAACTCAGCATTCTTGGATACAAACACTTTGTGTTCATCCATAGAGTAAAAGCAGTATCCTTTAGTACCTTTAGGATACCCCACAAAAAGACATTTAGTACTCTTAGCACTAAGCCTGTCTGATGCCAATGTCTTGACATAAGCAGGCAATCCCCAAACCCTGAGATAACTCAGGTTGGGTCTCTTACCATTCCATATCTCATATGGTGTGGTCTGAATAGATTTAGACGGTACCCTATTTAGAAGGTATGCCGCTGTGTCTAAGGCATATCCCCAAAACAATTTTGGAAGTTGAGTCTCACTCATCATAGACCTTACCATGTCTAACAAGGTCCTGTTTCTCCTTTCGGAGACACCATTTTGGTGTGGTGTGTAAGGAGCAGTAAACTGCGAGAGAATTCCATTCTCTCTCAGATAATCCTGAAATTCATGGCTCAAATATTCACCACCACGATCTGATCGTAATGTCTTAATTATCTTGCCACGTTGTTTCTCTACTTCACTCCTAAATTCTTTGAACTTTTCAAAAGCTTCGGATTTATATCTCATCAGGTACACATACCCAAATCTTGATTTGTCATCCGTAAAGGTAATGAAATAAGAGTATCCTCCTCTAGCCTCAATAGACATTGGGCCACATACATCAGAATGAATGAGTTCTAATAACTCACTAGCCCTATGACTCTCAAGCCCTTTGGGCGTGTGACGAGTCATTTTCCCAGCTAGACAAGATTCACATTGTCCATAGGATTCCAAATCCAAGGAATCTAGGTATCCATTTGCATGCATCCTAGACAATCTTGTTTCATTTACGTGCCCTAGTCTACAGTGCCAAAGATATGATTGATTATCCATCCTAGGTCGTTTCACATCTATTTTGAGCACTTCAATTCCCATTTCCAGAACATACAATCCATTTATTAAGGTAGCAGTACTAAAAACAATATCATTCATAATGATAGAAAGTGTACCATTCTTAATACTGAAAATAAAACCATCTTGTTCCAAACAAGAAATTGAAATAATGTTTCTAGAAATACTTGGAACATAAAGACATTTACTCAAATGCAAAATAAGGCCCGTAGGCAAAATGAGGTCGGCTTCTCCAATAGAACGAGCAGCAACTCTTGCTCCATTTCCAACGCGGAGGTCCACCTCGTTCCTCTCCAATCTCCTGGGGCTCCTAAGTGCCTGCAACATATTGCAGATGTGAGAACCACAACCGGTATCCAATACCCATGAAGTAGGATTAGCACATGAATAATTTATCTCAATCATGAAAATACCTGAGGTAGAAGCATCACCATGCTTCTTGTCCTTCACACTCTTCAGGTAGTCTGGACAGTTCCTCTTCCAATGGCCTTTCTTGCCACAATGGAAGCACTCAGCATCGCCTTTGTCCTTGGATGCTTTCTTACCCTTCTTGTTGCCCTTCTTCTTCTTGGATTTTCCTTTGGGCTTAAGGGAGTCACCTTTAGCAGGCCCCTCACCCTTACCCTTGGCCTTGCTAGGCCCACTAATCAGAAGAGCTTGTGTCTTATCCTTCTTGATAGACACTTCAAC